GGATGATTACATGCTTTGAATCATCAATTTAAGCAGCTTTTGAGGTTCTTATCCAGAATGTGAGATGAAATTCTTGCTGGTATATCTTTGTTTACAGACTTTGTGGGCTGCGCTTATTTCTTTGCGCTGTCCATTTAGTTGTCGTAAGCGGGAAAACCTCTCTACGATTGCGTATGTTGATTATTTTCACAGCTTGAACATGATGGCTGCACAAATAGATTTTGAAATGGCATGCACAGTTTTTATTATATTTCTTCTGTGGTATTGTAATTTTAGGGATGGAAAAAAAATTATCATAATACAAACATAACTGAAATGCAGGATACTATTTGTGTCTTGCGGAACAAAACTCACAATTTCGGGACTGTCCCGCAGAATGCGGGAGAGGTGGTCATCCTATGTTGTCATCCGCCCACGAAAATATCAAAAGGAAAAACGTTTCTCTTTTTAGCACATCGTTGTTATTGAATCATACCCTGAATATACAGGCCTGTTGCCACGAGAACTCTATGATGTGTTTCGAAGAAAAAATCAATCCAGAATAGCTAAAACATCTAATATAATATTCAGCTACTGACGGGGAAAAAATAAGGCTGAATTCAGAATGGCAGAAATTGTACTGGCATACTATTCTAAAAAAAGCTCAATGTGGTTTTATGTATGTTCAAATGGGTGGAAAAAACAAGTAAAAATGGAATCACCTAGTTGCGTAAACTCCCACTCTGGGGTGCAAGTCTGGAGAATCATGACTATTAATGTAGAGGGAGGGATTATCATTAATTACCCAAAGTCTGTAGAGTACAAAAAGACCAAAGGGCTGCATCTCAGCAGTGTGACTAGCTGTTGAACAATGGCAGGAAGTTGGTCTGCTGTTCAGTCTCTGGCAATTTGTGTTTGGTTCTGTGCTTTCTGTCATGCTGTTCCAAAGTGGAGTGATCTGCCCCGGAATCCTCAAGCTCTGATGTTCCAGCAAACTAACCAGCAGTTTCAGAAGCCAGTTCAACAGCAAGCTAGTCAATGGTTTCCTCAAAAAGTTCAAAAGCCAGTTCAACAGCAAGCTAATCAATGGTTTCCTCAGAAAGTTCAAAAGCCAGTTCAACAGCAAGCTAGTCAACAGTTTCCTCAGCAGGTTCAACAGCAAGCTAGTCAACAGTTTTCTCAGCAGTTTCAACAGCAAGCTAGTCAACAGTTTCCTCAGCAGTTTCAACAGCAAGCTAGTCAACAGTTTCCTCAGCAGGTTCAACAGCAAGCTAGTCAACAGTTTCCTCAGCAGGTTCAACAGCAAGCAGGTCAACAGTTTCCTCAGTCAGTTCAACTGCAAGCAGGTCAACAGTTTCCTCAGTCAGTTCAACTGCAAGCAGGTCAACAGTTTCCTCAGTCAGTTCAACTGCAAGCAGGTCAAGAGTTTCCTCAGTCTGTTCAACAGCAAGCAGGTCAAGAGTTTTCTCAGTCAGTTCAACAGCAAGCTAGTCAACGGTTTCCTCAGCAGTTTCACCCTAAGTACCCAGTGGTGAAGGCAGAGCCCCTTGACAAATGTACTGTAGCTGATTATGAGCAGATCCAATGTGGACCACCTGGTATCAGTGGTGCTGAGTGTGCTGCTATCAACTGCTGCTTTAATGGACAGCAGTGTTACTATGGGAAGGCAGGTAAGAGTGTAGAGTCAATGTAGAGGCATTCATGTTACACCGGTCCTCTGCATTAACCTGCTCTTGTAACTCATTCCAGTGACTGTCCAGTGTATAAGAGATGGTCAGTTTGTGGTGGTGGTGGCTAGAGATGTTACGCTGCCTCGATTGAGCCTGGATTCAGTCCGTCTCCTGGGTGGAAATGATCCAGCTTGCAGTCCTGTGGGATCCACACCTTTCTTTGCTATATACCAGTTCCCAGTCACTGCATGTGGCACAAGCATGATGGTGAGTAGCTTCTTGTGGTTTTGTTCTGCATGGCTTAGAATGGATTACATGCCAACAATGTTACTATTTGCAGGAGGACAGTGGCTATGTGGTGTATGAAAACAGAATGACCTCCTCATATGAAGTGGGTGTCGGACCACTTGGTTCCATCACAAGGGACAGCCATTTTGAGTAAGTGACGTACGCTTTATCATAAATGTGAATCAATGACAAATGCTACAAGCTCACTGTTTGTCGCCCAGGCTTCTCTTCCAGTGTAGGTACTCTGGTACCTCTGTGGAAGCTCTGGTTGTGGAGGTCAACACCGTTCCTCCACCTCCACCAGTAGCTGCGCCTGGACCCCTCAGGGTGGAGCTTAGACTGGCAAATGGTCAATGTGTCACCAAAGGCTGTGCAGAAGGTAAGGGTTTGTCCCAAGCATGCCTAAATTCTTTCTAAAATTCCAGTTTCTAGTTAAACCCTGCATTCTTCCTCAGGGGACGAGGCGTACACGTCCTACTACAGTGACGCAGATTATCCAGTTACAAAAGTCCTGCGGGAGCCTGTGTATGTTGAGGTGCACATTTTGGAGAGGAACGACCCCAACATTGTCCTGATGCTGGGACGTTGCTGGGCGACATCAACCCCCAGTCCACTCAGTCTACCCCAATGGGATCTTCTGGTTGATGGGTGAGTAAGGCCCGTCTTTATCCATCTAGTGTGCTGTAAGGCATTTCTGACTGCCTCTTTACCTTTCAGATGCCCTTACCAGGATGATCGTTACCTGACCACATTGGTTCCAGTGGCTGGATCATCTGGTCTTCAGTTCCCTACCCACTACAAGCGCTTTGTTGTGAAGATGTTCACATTTGTAGATCCAGCATCACTGGCTCCTCTGCAGGAAACCGTATGCTCTGCAGCCTTACCTCAACCCTTAATATTAGCGCTTTTTACAGTGTATTCTACGGCTTAACCCTTTCCCCCCCTCTGTTAGATCTTCATCCACTGTAGTACAGCGGTGTGCCATCCCTCCTCTGGCTCCTGTGAGCAAAGCTGCACTAGGAAAAGTGAGTGTTTGCCGTAAGTTGACTTCAGGAACCGAGAACTTATTTAAATGCCCCTCATGCTTCTACCACTTTTTACAGGAAGAGACGTGCACGTCAAGACCATCTCTAGTGGGCAAACTGTGGTTTCTAGTGGAGAAGTTAACCTGGTCAAGTGAAATTTGGTGTTTTAATAAAATTCATGAAACTCAACATGTTTCTCTTTGGTGTTCATTTCTGACTGGAGTTGGATGTTTCATGACTGACTGTTCTCAGTTTGACTTTCTAGGGCTGCACTACTAAGCCTTTTTCTTTTGTGCATTGGGATTCTTGACCTAAACAAGCCAAGTTTCTGCCTAAGCCATTTAAAGAAGCTATATGCAGCTTTCCCCCCCCAAAATAAACGTAACAATACCCTTTTTATTTTACCATTTTATGACTAAAACATCTCCTGATGATCATACTGACACCTTGTCCGCTCACAGTGGGTGCACCTATAAGCCTGTATCCTATCTTTCCTATTTTCTGTCGGGTCGGACTCTTCCCGCGCTGTCTGCGGATGTGACGTCAAGCGCTTTCATGTTAAAACGTTTCAGATCACTCTGCCGCCACCGCTAGTCAGCAAGTAGCCTACACTCGCAAGCAGAACACTTTATCTCAAACAATGTTCTTACCTCTGTAAACAATGTTGACCTCCTTGCAGCAGATGACTAGTGAAGTGTGCACGTAAAAGCGCGCGTTGCGAGAGCAGTTCTGTTTTTTGGCCACAGGTGTCAGTCGCAAGTTTAAATTTCAGGAAACGCACGTAGCCTCTTTAACTTTACAATTTGCCAAGTTCTAGTTGTTAATTTGGGCCCCTGTTGATGTTCCACATATCAAATGAAGGTTTTAGCTACTGGCTGTTTGAGGCTTTACATAAGACTTTTTGTCTGGACAAGCATAACTGCATATATTGATGCCAAACCCCCTTTAAGGTCACTTGTTGGCTTTTTGTAATGCTTTTTTCTTTTTTTGTCACAAGTATAGAATCATATCTTGGGATAAAGGATGAGTACAGGGTGATAGTGGTTTTATTCCAGGCTAGTCTGAGTAATGTTTATTGAAAAGTAGACTTTATTTAAGCATTAATCCCTTAACTGTTGTATCGCAAGTTGTTCGACCATTTCTATAGGTGGCGCTTGAGCAACCATGGCATCGGTGCATGTTTGTTGAAAATATTTGGCAAAGGGATGGATGATTACATGCTTTGAATCATCAATTTAAGCAGCTTTTGAGGTTCTTATCCAGAATGTGAGATGAAATTCTTGCTGGTATATCTTTGTTTACAGACTTTGTGGGCTGCGCTTATTTCTTTGCGCTGTCCATTTAGTTGTCGTAAGCGGGAAAACCTCTCTACGATTGCGTATGTTGATTATTTTCACAGCTTGAACATGATGGCTGCACAAATAGATTTTGAAATGGCATGCACAGTTTTTATTATATTTCTTCTGTGGTATTGTAATTTTAGGGATGGAAAAAAAATTATCATAATACAAACATAACTGAAATGCAGGATACTATTTGTGTCTTGCGGAACAAAACTCACAATTTCGGGACTGTCCCGCAGAATGCGGGAGAGGTGGTCATCCTATGTTGTCATCCGCCCACGAAAATATCAAAAGGAAAAACGTTTCTCTTTTTAGCACATCGTTGTTATTGAATCATACCCTGAATATACAGGCCTGTTGCCACGAGAACTCTATGATGTGTTTCGAAGAAAAAATCAATCCAGAATAGCTAAAACATCTAATATAATATTCAGCTACTGACGGGGAAAAAATAAGGCTGAATTCAGAATGGCAGAAATTGTACTGGCATACTATTCTAAAAAAAGCTCAATGTGGTTTTATGTATGTTCAAATGGGTGGAAAAAACAAGTAAAAATGGAATCACCTAGTTGCGTAAACTCCCACTCTGGGGTGCAAGTCTGGAGAATCATGACTATTAATGTAGAGGGAGGGATTATCATTAATTACCCAAAGTCTGTAGAGTACAAAAAGACCAAAGGGCTGCATCTCAGCAGTGTGACTAGCTGTTGAACAATGGCAGGAAGTTGGTCTGCTGTTCAGTCTCTGGCAATTTGTGTTTGGTTCTGTGCTTTCTGTCATGCTGTTCCAAAGTGGAGTGATCTGCCCCGGAATCCTCAAGCTCTGATGTTCCAGCAAACTAACCAGCAGTTTCAGAAGCCAGTTCAACAGCAAGCTAGTCAATGGTTTCCTCAAAAAGTTCAAAAGCCAGTTCAACAGCAAGCTAATCAATGGTTTCCTCAGAAAGTTCAAAAGCCAGTTCAACAGCAAGCTAGTCAACAGTTTCCTCAGCAGGTTCAACAGCAAGCTAGTCAACAGTTTTCTCAGCAGTTTCAACAGCAAGCTAGTCAACAGTTTCCTCAGCAGTTTCAACAGCAAGCTAGTCAACAGTTTCCTCAGCAGGTTCAACAGCAAGCTAGTCAACAGTTTCCTCAGCAGGTTCAACAGCAAGCAGGTCAACAGTTTCCTCAGTCAGTTCAACTGCAAGCAGGTCAACAGTTTCCTCAGTCAGTTCAACTGCAAGCAGGTCAACAGTTTCCTCAGTCAGTTCAACTGCAAGCAGGTCAACAGTTTCCTCAGTCAGTTCAACTGCAAGCAGGTCAAGAGTTTCCTCAGTCTGTTCAACAGCAAGCAGGTCAAGAGTTTTCTCAGTCAGTTCAACAGCAAGCTAGTCAACGGTTTCCTCAGCAGTTTCACCCTAAGTACCCAGTGGTGAAGGCAGAGCCCCTTGACAAATGTACTGTAGCTGATTATGAGCAGATCCAATGTGGACCACCTGGTATCAGTGGTGCTGAGTGTGCTGCTATCAACTGCTGCTTTAATGGACAGCAGTGTTACTATGGGAAGGCAGGTAAGAGTGTAGAGTCAATGTAGAGGCATTCATGTTACACCGGTCCTCTGCATTAACCTGCTCTTGTAACTCATTCCAGTGACTGTCCAGTGTATAAGAGATGGTCAGTTTGTGGTGGTGGTGGCTAGAGATGTTACGCTGCCTCGATTGAGCCTGGATTCAGTCCGTCTCCTGGGTGGAAATGATCCAGCTTGCAGTCCTGTGGGATCCACACCTTTCTTTGCTATATACCAGTTCCCAGTCACTGCATGTGGCACAAGCATGATGGTGAGTAGCTTCTTGTGGTTTTGTTCTGCATGGCTTAGAATGGATTACATGCCAACAATGTTACTATTTGCAGGAGGACAGTGGCTATGTGGTGTATGAAAACAGAATGACCTCCTCATATGAAGTGGGTGTCGGACCACTTGGTTCCATCACAAGGGACAGCCATTTTGAGTAAGTGACGTACGCTTTATCATAAATGTGAATCAATGACAAATGCTACAAGCTCACTGTTTGTCGCCCAGGCTTCTCTTCCAGTGTAGGTACTCTGGTACCTCTGTGGAAGCTCTGGTTGTGGAGGTCAACACCGTTCCTCCACCTCCACCAGTAGCTGCGCCTGGACCCCTCAGGGTGGAGCTTAGACTGGCAAATGGTCAATGTGTCACCAAAGGCTGTGCAGAAGGTAAGGGTTTGTCCCAAGCATGCCTAAATTCTTTCTAAAATTCCAGTTTCTAGTTAAACCCTGCATTCTTCCTCAGGGGACGAGGCGTACACGTCCTACTACAGTGACGCAGATTATCCAGTTACAAAAGTCCTGCGGGAGCCTGTGTATGTTGAGGTGCACATTTTGGAGAGGAACGACCCCAACATTGTCCTGATGCTGGGACGTTGCTGGGCGACATCAACCCCCAGTCCACTCAGTCTACCCCAATGGGATCTTCTGGTTGATGGGTGAGTAAGGCCCGTCTTTATCCATCTAGTGTGCTGTAAGGCATTTCTGACTGCCTCTTTACCTTTCAGATGCCCTTACCAGGATGATCGTTACCTGACCACATTGGTTCCAGTGGCTGGATCATCTGGTCTTCAGTTCCCTACCCACTACAAGCGCTTTGTTGTGAAGATGTTCACATTTGTAGATCCAGCATCACTGGCTCCTCTGCAGGAAACCGTATGCTCTGCAGCCTTACCTCAACCCTTAATATTAGCGCTTTTTACAGTGTATTCTACGGCTTAACCCTTTCCCCCCCTCTGTTAGATCTTCATCCACTGTAGTACAGCGGTGTGCCATCCCTCCTCTGGCTCCTGTGAGCAAAGCTGCACTAGGAAAAGTGAGTGTTTGCCGTAAGTTGACTTCAGGAACCGAGAACTTATTTAAATGCCCCTCATGCTTCTACCACTTTTTACAGGAAGAGACGTGCACGTCAAGACCATCTCTAGTGGGCAAACTGTGGTTTCTAGTGGAGAAGTTAACCTGGTCAAGTGAAATTTGGTGTTTTAATAAAATTCATGAAACTCAACATGTTTCTCTTTGGTGTTCATTTCTGACTGGAGTTGGATGTTTCATGACTGACTGTTCTCAGTTTGACTTTCTAGGGCTGCACTACTAAGCCTTTTTCTTTTGTGCATTGGGATTCTTGACCTAAACAAGCCAAGTTTCTGCCTAAGCCATTTAAAGAAGCTATATGCAGCTTCCCCCCCCCAAAATAAACGTAACAATACCCTTTTTATTTTACCATTTTATGACTAAAACATCTCCTGATGATCATACTGACACCTTGTCCGCTCACAGTGGGTGCACCTATAAGCCTGTATCCTATCTTTCCTATTTTCTGTCGGGTCGGACTCTTCCCGCGCTGTCTGCGGATGTGACGTCAAGCGCTTTCATGTTAAAACGTTTCAGATCACTCTGCCGCCACCGCTAGTCAGCAAGTAGCCTACACTCGCAAGCAGAACACTTTATCTCAAACAATGTTCTTACCTCTGTAAACAATGTTGACCTCCTTGCAGCAGATGACTAGTGAAGTGTGCACGTAAAAGCGCGCGTTGCGAGAGCAGTTCTGTTTTTTGGCCACAGGTGTCAGTCGCAAGTTTAAATTTCAGGAAACGCACGTAGCCTCTTTAACTTTACAATTTGCCAAGTTCTAGTTGTTAATTTGGGCCCCTGTTGATGTTCCACATATCAAATGAAGGTTTTAGCTACTGGCTGTTTGAGGCTTTACATAAGACTTTTTGTCTGGACAAGCATAACTGCATATATTGATGCCAAACCCCCTTTAAGGTCACTTGTTGGCTTTTTGTAATGCTTTTTTCTTTTTTTGTCACAAGTATAGAATCATATCTTGGGATAAAGGATGAGTACAGGGTGATAGTGGTTTTATTCCAGGCTAGTCTGAGTAATGTTTATTGAAAAGTAGACTTTATTTAAGCATTAATCCCTTAACTGTTGTATCGCAAGTTGTTCGACCATTTCTATAGGTGGCGCTTGAGCAACCATGGCATCGGTGCATGTTTGTTGAAAATATTTGGCAAAGGGATGGATGATTACATGCTTTGAATCATCAATTTAAGCAGCTTTTGAGGTTCTTATCCAGAATGTGAGATGAAATTCTTGCTGGTATATCTTTGTTTACAGACTTTGTGGGCTGCGCTTATTTCTTTGCGCTGTCCATTTAGTTGTCGTAAGCGGGAAAACCTCTCTACGATTGCGTATGTTGATTATTTTCACAGCTTGAACATGATGGCTGCACAAATAGATTTTGAAATGGCATGCACAGTTTTTATTATATTTCTTCTGTGGTATTGTAATTTTAGGGATGGAAAAAAAATTATCATAATACAAACATAACTGAAATGCAGGATACTATTTGTGTCTTGCGGAACAAAACTCACAATTTCGGGACTGTCCCGCAGAATGCGGGAGAGGTGGTCATCCTATGTTGTCATCCGCCCACGAAAATATCAAAAGGAAAAACGTTTCTCTTTTTAGCACATCGTTGTTATTGAATCATACCCTGAATATACAGGCCTGTTGCCACGAGAACTCTATGATGTGTTTCGAAGAAAAAATCAATCCAGAATAGCTAAAACATCTAATATAATATTCAGCTACTGACGGGGAAAAAATAAGGCTGAATTCAGAATGGCAGAAATTGTACTGGCATACTATTCTAAAAAAAGCTCAATGTGGTTTTATGTATGTTCAAATGGGTGGAAAAAACAAGTAAAAATGGAATCACCTAGTTGCGTAAACTCCCACTCTGGGGTGCAAGTCTGGAGAATCATGACTATTAATGTAGAGGGAGGGATTATCATTAATTACCCAAAGTCTGTAGAGTACAAAAAGACCAAAGGGCTGCATCTCAGCAGTGTGACTAGCTGTTGAACAATGGCAGGAAGTTGGTCTGCTGTTCAGTCTCTGGCAATTTGTGTTTGGTTCTGTGCTTTCTGTCATGCTGTTCCAAAGTGGAGTGATCTGCCCCGGAATCCTCAAGCTCTGATGTTCCAGCAAACTAACCAGCAGTTTCAGAAGCCAGTTCAACAGCAAGCTAGTCAATGGTTTCCTCAAAAAGTTCAAAAGCCAGTTCAACAGCAAGCTAATCAATGGTTTCCTCAGAAAGTTCAAAAGCCAGTTCAACAGCAAGCTAGTCAACAGTTTCCTCAGCAGGTTCAACAGCAAGCTAGTCAACAGTTTTCTCAGCAGTTTCAACAGCAAGCTAGTCAACAGTTTCCTCAGCAGTTTCAACAGCAAGCTAGTCAACAGTTTCCTCAGCAGGTTCAACAGCAAGCTAGTCAACAGTTTCCTCAGCAGGTTCAACAGCAAGCAGGTCAACAGTTTCCTCAGTCAGTTCAACTGCAAGCAGGTCAACAGTTTCCTCAGTCAGTTCAACTGCAAGCAGGTCAACAGTTTCCTCAGTCAGTTCAACTGCAAGCAGGTTTCTCAGTCAGTTCAACTGCAAGCAGGTCAAGAGTTTCCTCAGTCTGTTCAACAGCAAGCAGGTCAAGAGTTTTCTCAGTCAGTTCAACAGCAAGCTAGTCAACGGTTTCCTCAGCAGTTTCACCCTAAGTACCCAGTGGTGAAGGCAGAGCCCCTTGACAAATGTACTGTAGCTGATTATGAGCAGATCCAATGTGGACCACCTGGTATCAGTGGTGCTGAGTGTGCTGCTATCAACTGCTGCTTTAATGGACAGCAGTGTTACTATGGGAAGGCAGGTAAGAGTGTAGAGTCAATGTAGAGGCATTCATGTTACACCGGTCCTCTGCATTAACCTGCTCTTGTAACTCATTCCAGTGACTGTCCAGTGTATAAGAGATGGTCAGTTTGTGGTGGTGGTGGCTAGAGATGTTACGCTGCCTCGATTGAGCCTGGATTCAGTCCGTCTCCTGGGTGGAAATGATCCAGCTTGCAGTCCTGTGGGATCCACACCTTTCTTTGCTATATACCAGTTCCCAGTCACTGCATGTGGCACAAGCATGATGGTGAGTAGCTTCTTGTGGTTTTGTTCTGCATGGCTTAGAATGGATTACATGCCAACAATGTTACTATTTGCAGGAGGACAGTGGCTATGTGGTGTATGAAAACAGAATGACCTCCTCATATGAAGTGGGTGTCGGACCACTTGGTTCCATCACAAGGGACAGCCATTTTGAGTAAGTGACGTACGCTTTATCATAAATGTGAATCAATGACAAATGCTACAAGCTCACTGTTTGTCGCCCAGGCTTCTCTTCCAGTGTAGGTACTCTGGTACCTCTGTGGAAGCTCTGGTTGTGGAGGTCAACACCGTTCCTCCACCTCCACCAGTAGCTGCGCCTGGACCCCTCAGGGTGGAGCTTAGACTGGCAAATGGTCAATGTGTCACCAAAGGCTGTGCAGAAGGTAAGGGTTTGTCCCAAGCATGCCTAAATTCTTTCTAAAATTCCAGTTTCTAGTTAAACCCTGCATTCTTCCTCAGGGGACGAGGCGTACACGTCCTACTACAGTGACGCAGATTATCCAGTTACAAAAGTCCTGCGGGAGCCTGTGTATGTTGAGGTGCACATTTTGGAGAGGAACGACCCCAACATTGTCCTGATGCTGGGACGTTGCTGGGCGACATCAACCCCCAGTCCACTCAGTCTACCCCAATGGGATCTTCTGGTTGATGGGTGAGTAAGGCCCGTCTTTATCCATCTAGTGTGCTGTAAGGCATTTCTGACTGCCTCTTTACCTTTCAGATGCCCTTACCAGGATGATCGTTACCTGACCACATTGGTTCCAGTGGCTGGATCATCTGGTCTTCAGTTCCCTACCCACTACAAGCGCTTTGTTGTGAAGATGTTCACATTTGTAGATCCAGCATCACTGGCTCCTCTGCAGGAAACCGTATGCTCTGCAGCCTTACCTCAACCCTTAATATTAGCGCTTTTTACAGTGTATTCTACGGCTTAACCCTTTCCCCCCTCTGTTAGATCTTCATCCACTGTAGTACAGCGGTGTGCCATCCCTCCTCTGGCTCCTGTGAGCAAAGCTGCACTAGGAAAAGTGAGTGTTTGCCGTAAGTTGACTTCAGGAACCGAGAACTTATTTAAATGCCCCTCATGCTTCTACCACTTTTTACAGGAAGAGACGTGCACGTCAAGACCATCTCTAGTGGGCAAACTGTGGTTTCTAGTGGAGAAGTTAACCTGGTCAAGTGAAATTTGGTGTTTTAATAAAATTCATGAAACTCAACATGTTTCTCTTTGGTGTTCATTTCTGACTGGAGTTGGATGTTTCATGACTGACTGTTCTCAGTTTGACTTTCTAGGGCTGCACTACTAAGCCTTTTTCTTTTGTGCATTGGGATTCTTGACCTAAACAAGCCAAGTTTCTGCCTAAGCCATTTAAAGAAGCTATATGCAGCTTTTCCCCCCCAAAATAAACGTAACAATACCCTTTTTATTTTACCATTTTATGACTAAAACATCTCCTGATGATCATACTGACACCTTGTCCGCTCACAGTGGGTGCACCTATAAGCCTGTATCCTATCTTTCCTATTTTCTGTCGGGTCGGACTCTTCCCGCGCTGTCTGCGGATGTGACGTCAAGCGCTTTCATGTTAAAACGTTTCAGATCACTCTGCCGCCACCGCTAGTCAGCAAGTAGCCTACACTCGCAAGCAGAACACTTTATCTCAAACAATGTTCTTACCTCTGTCAACAATGTTGACCTCCTTGCAGCAGATGACTAGTGAAGTGTGCACGTAAAAGCGCGCGTTGCGAGAGCAGTTCTGTTTTTGGCCACAGGTGTCAGTCGCAAGTTTAAATTTCAGGAAACGCACGTAGCCTCTTTAACTTTACAATTTGCCAAGTTCTAGTTGTTAATTTGGGCCCTGTTGATGTTCCACATATCAAATGAAGGTTTTAGCTACTGGCTGTTTGAGGCTTTACATAAGACTTTTTGTCTGGACAAGCATAACTGCATATATTGATGCCAAACCCCCTTTAAGGTCACTTGTTGGCTTTTTGTAATGCTTTTTTCTTTTTTTGTCACAAGTATAGAATCATATCTTGGGATAAAGGATGAGTACAGGGTGATAGTGGTTTTATTCCAGGCTAGTCTGAGTAATGTTTATTGAAAAGTAGACTTTATTTAAGCATTAATCCCTTAACTGTTGTATCGCAAGTTGTTCGACCATTTCTATAGTGGCTTGAGCAACCATGGCATCGGTGCATGTTTGTTGAAAATATTTGGCAAAGGGATGGATGATTACATGCTTTGAATCATCAATTTAAGCAGCTTTTGAGGTTCTTATCCAGAATGTGAGATGAAATTCTTGCTGGTATATCTTTGTTTACAGACTTTGTGGGCTGCGCTTATTTCTTTGCGCTGTCCATTTAGTTGTCGTAAGCGGAAAACCTCTCTACGATTGCGTATGTTGATATTTTCACAGCTTGAACATGATGGCTGCACAAATAGATTTTGAAATGGCATGCACAGTTTTTATTATATTTCTTCTGTGGTATTGTATTTTAGGGATGGAAAAAAAATTATCATAATACAAACATAACTGAAATGCAGGATACTATTTGTGTCTTGCGGAACAAAACTCACAATTTCGGGACTGTCCCGCAGAATGCGGGAGAGGGTGTCATCCTATGTTGTCATCCGCCCACGAAAATATCAAAGGAAAAACGTTTCTCTTTTAGCACATCGTTGTTATTGAATCATACCCTGAATATACAGGCCTGTTGCCACGAGAACTCTATGATGTGTTTCGAAAAAAAATCAATCCAGAATAGCTAAAACATCTAATATAATATTCAGCTACTGACGGGGAAAAAATAAGGCTGAATTCAGAATGGCAGTGGCTTGTACTGGCTACTATTCTAAAAACTACAATGTGGTTTGATGATGTTCAAATGGGTGGAAAATCCAGTATCAATGGTCACCTAGTTGCAGGAAACCGTATGCTCTGCAGCCTACCTCAACCCTTAATATTAGCGCTTTTTACAGTGTATTCTACGGCTTAACCCTTTCCCCCCCTCTGTTAGATGTTCATCCACTGTAGTACAGCGGTGTGCCATCCCTCCTCTGGCTCCTGTGAGCAAAGCTGCACTAGGAAAAGTGAGTGTTTGCCGTAAGTTGACTTCAGGAACCGAGAACTTATTTAAATGCCCCTCATGCTTCTACCACTTTTTACAGGAAGAGACGTGCACGTCAAGACCATCTCTAGTGGGCAAACTGTGGTGTCTAGTGGAGAAGTTAACCTGGTCAAGTGAAATTTAGTGTTTTAATAAAATTCATGAAACTCAACATGTTTCTCTTTGGTGTTCATTTCTGACTGGAGTTCGATGTTTCATGACTGACTGTCCTCAGTTTGACTTTCTAGGGCTGCACTACTAAGCCTTTTTCTTTTGTGCATTGGGATTCTTGACCTAAACAAGTCAAGTTTCTGCCTAAGCCATTTACCTATACAATTTGCCAAGTTCTAGTTGTTAACTTAGGCCCCTGTTGATGTTCCACATATCAAATGAAGGTTTTAGCTACTGGCTGTTTGAGGCTTTACATAAGACTTTTCGGCTGGACTAGCATAACTGCATATATTGATTCCCAACCCTCTGTAAGTCAAGTCAAATATATTTATGTAGTGCTTTTCACAATACAGATTTTAACAAAGCTGCTTCAAAGTATCAATCAAGACAACATAACAGTGTTTGTTTATTCATGAAAAGACAATCAAGTTTGGTAGAGCTGATCAATGGTATGATGGGTCACTTGTTGGATTTTTGTAAAAAAAAAAATTGTCTCGAGGATAGAATGATATCTTGGGATAAAGGATGTGTAAGGGCTCTTGCCAGGAGACTCAACCCTCCCCTGGGACTTGAAAACACACACATACACTTATGCATACCTCCAGTGAGTATCGGGTTACGAGTGACAAAGAATGTCTCTGAGGAATGTGTTTAAAGACCTGAAACCATTAAGTATATTTTTTTAAATGTGTGTGTTTTCCCCCATGTCACAGTAAAATATCTTTGTTTGGTTGTGGCATAAATAGACATTAGAAATACCTTCTTTGTGCATTTTAAATACATCTGTATTTTTCCTTTGACTTTCATTTGATGTTTTGTCACCTCTAGAATGCTCATTGAACGGGTTATCCGAATATGCACAGAGATATAGAGTAAAGTATATTTTTAATATGTTTTTGCTGCCATTGAAGATCACACTGTTAAACTATAAAACCCTCATTGAACACAACCCCTCCCACGAGGTGTGCGGTCTCTCAAACAAAGGACAATAAACCGAGAATTCCCGCGTGCAACTTCTCCACATGCCGATTGGCCCAGCCACAGGAAGAGGTTGGGTGTCTTCAAGCAGTATAAATGTGAGCTCCGCCCTTTGGACGCTCTCTTCTCCCTGGAAACCCAAAGTGTCAGGAGCATGTAATCCTCACGGGAATCTGATCCGACCCGACCCTGGATCTTTTCTTTTGTTCGTCTAAAGTTCGTCTCTTCTTTAAGTTTACTACCAAGTTCACCTCCCAGGAAAGGAAGCGGACGTTGCCGAACTGTTTCCTCGGGTAACGTCACCTCAAAGACTTTAAGCCTCTCAAACACTCGCGCCGAATGCCACGTGACTCACCGCGCCCACGGAACAAAGGAGCAACGTGCACGCAGCTGGACGGGCCGCACGTGCACAGAGGACAAAAGATACGCCGTCCACCTCATGGCTAGACCACGCAGGCCACTCAAGGAACGCAGCAACACATGAGAGAACTATTCCACATGCAAGTAAATTTGGGTTACCTTGTTTTCAGAGCATTAAGAATGTGTTTTCGAGTTGTTTCAGAAAGGTTGACTGTCTGGGTGAATGTAACCCTGTCTCACCATGCTCTCTCTCTCTCTCTCTCTCTCTCTCTCTCTCCAACTCATTTACACGTGTTACTCCCCATTGTCTAAGGGTGATAGTGGTTTTATTCCAGGCTAGTCTGAGTAATGTTTATTGAAAAGTAGACTTTATTTAACCATTAATCCCTTAACTGTTGTATCCCAAGTTGCTCGACCATTTCTGTAGGTGGTGCTTGAGCGACCATGGCATCGGTGCATGTTTGTTGGAAATATTTGGCAACAGGATGGATGATTACATGCTTTGAATCATCAATTTGAGCAGCTTTTGAGGTTCTTATCCAGAATGTGAGATGAAATTCTCGCTGGTATAGCTTTGTTTACAGACTTTGCGGCCTGCGCTTATTTCTTTGGGCTGTCCATTTAGTTGTCGTCAGCGGGAAAACTTCTCTATTGCGTATGTTGGTTATTTCCACAGCTTGAACATGACGGCTGCACAAATAGATTTTGTGAAATGCCAGGCACAGTTTTTATTATATTTCTTCTGTGGTATTGTAACAGGGCCGGCCCGAGGCATAAGTGAACTAAGCGGCTGCTTGGGGGCCCCCCAATCGAGTCGAAAAATATATTTTTTTAAAGTTAAACAATTGACATAAATGAATGAATAATTAAAGAAAAGAAAATTCTGATTTCATGATCAATATACCTCCCTACAACTGCTGCTGTGTCTGCCAGCATTTAAGTCATGCGCGTAATCTAGACACCTCGCGCGTGCAACTGCACATAGTTGCGGACTTGCGGTAATGTTAAGCCATTTCACAAAAAAATACGTGTCCCTCTGGTGCCGAAAATAGAATGAAGAAAAGGACATAGGTGGAGGAAAAAAAGAGAAAGATAAAAGTATGTTTGCATGATTATTTACGGTATGTTTTGGGCAGCAATTGAACTACGGCAAGCCCAGAGGGGAATATGGCTACAAGAATTGATGACTGGAAGAACACATATTTTACGGACAAAATTATTACGACGATTACGGACGATCTTTGAAAGAATATCAATCACGACACTTCTGGCATCCTCGTCTTCTCTTTCTGGAACCCCATTAACCCCATTTGCGTTTATACCGGTCATGTTCCACGCATTTCTGTTTCAACGTTTCGTTTTCCTTGTGTAAACGACTCACCTGTGACTTCAACTTATCCACATCCTCCTTAACACATTTTACCACCGTCATATTGGCATCCAGAGACTGCGTAATTTTCACAATTGCATCAGTGTTTTCCTTCAGTTGGAATTCAAAGGCACGGATATATTCTGAATTCTCGTCAAACTTACGACTGAGGCTTTGGATGGTGGTGTAAAGAACGCTAGTGGAAATCTCATCCTTCTCCTGCACTGG